ATGTTGCCGAATTAGCAGCAGGACCCAGGTTTCTTGAGCTTCCAGGTATGTTCCTCATTCACAGGATTTTTGCCCCTTTTCAGGGACAAAATATTTTTGACTCAGGGTAAATTTGAGGCTAACCAGAAGGTGGTGAATGAATATGGTATTCCATCTGACTCAGGTTGTCAATGCTGAAGACATACGGGGCCAGTCACAAGGCTCATCCAGATAAATGCAAGGGAAACACTATTCTTCCATAAGTCTGTATTTGCATAGCTTTCAGTTATTGTTTCTTTCCCAAACACCTGCCTTTAAAATCAACAGTTGATGAGTTAGCTATTTTCCCTTTCCTGTTATTAGCATTTCTGTAGTCATACTTTTAATAATACACTTTTTTTGTTGTTGTTTGGACATTTTGCATATTTCCCTGTGAAGTACTGAATGCAGAGACAAACATTTCAACCTTGCTGCATAGTCCTATGGCCAAACCTGCCCACTAGTGACTTATGTCCAACCTTTATACTGCAGAAAACGTATCATGGCAACACAGGTCAAAACAAGTCAGTTTAAATATCTCTAAGTAATCTGTTCAAGAGAGAGTATAGAGCAATATGGTATATTAAAAACATTCCTTGTATATTAAAAAAATTTGATATGGTGCCATGGGGGAAATCATTAGTTAAATTGGAGAAGGTGGAGATTAGTCAGAGAATTAAAAATTGGCAGCTTGTGACAATAAGTGTGACATGCTCCATCATACAATGCATCCCCCAGCCCCTTCTCAAGTATTTTGAAAGGCCGTCTCACACCGAACCATACTAACAGCAAACAAGAAGAGACTGTGCCCCTGTGTCTGGTTACAGAGCAGCACTGAGAAGCAGAGTGCTTGGAAGGACGTTACTCCCGCCTAGGAAATACAGACAACGCTTTGGCAGCAGAGAGACTGACCCAGATTAACATGTCAAAGATACTTGTTTCTCATCTGGTATTATCTACTATTTTGCAGAGGATGAAGGGAAAGGAGATCTCTTGGATCTAGGTGACTCAGTGGGAGAACACAGAAACGATTTCTTGACCACGTTCTCATCGTGCTGATACTTCTGCTCAATCTCCTTTCAAACAGGAGGCTGGTCCTTGATCTGACTTTCTGCCAGCAGGATTTGTCCTGAACCCACGTCCTGCTGTAAGAAGTTCAGCTGAAATGGAGGAAGCTGGTTCTGTAAGTGTGCCAAGGGGCACTGTCCCAAGGCAGGTGCAATTTCAGCACTAGTCTGCAGCTATACCCCACCTCCTCTCCTCTTGGCAAGCCCAATCTAGTAGCACATAAACTATACAGCCACCTACACTGCAAAGAGAGGCACAGTCTTGTAGATCACTGGATAATTGCTTATTTCCGTTCAGAAATACTAAGAACGAGTATTTCTAAAGACTGCACTTAGCAAAGGGAAAAAAAAATGTGTTTTTGAAGAAACACTAGGGTATTTTCTGTGTGTTTTCTTTTAGTGTAAGGATAGAAAATTCTGTTGTGAATGCAATCCAAAAGGAATAGAGTATCAACAGACTGTCCTATCTTCCCCTCAACAAACAGTGACTTGCCTGGCTTTTCTTAGAAATTGAGCGTGTAACACAACTGAAGCCATGCCTTCCTAGATTTCTCATGCTGCTTGGGAAGGCTAAGAGCCTGTCTCTGTGTGTGGTAATCCATCAAGTGGCCTCACTGGGTTTTCTCCAACTAAGAGAAATTCATCAAAGCACATCTTAAATTACTTATTATGGCATCATCTTGGGCTAAACTGAGAGTCCACATAGGGAAATTTTAAAGAAACTGTAAGGGATGGGAAGGCGTGGGAACTGAAAGGAGACACATAGTGAGACACCATGTGCCTAAAGAGAAAAGGAGACACATAGTGAGACACCATGTGCCTAAAGAGAATCTATGTTATTTCAATTTACAACATCTAGTCTGCTTGGAAGACACTCAGCAGCACACTGGAGAGTTTGCTTAGGGTACAGCGAACCAACTGCGTGATCGCAGGATTACAGGAGAACAGCAGTTGACATGTTAATGTAACTAAGACGCACTGCAACTCTAGTTAACTCTGTACTATATACAAATCCAATGCTACTTGCAGATGATTTTGTTCGATTAGCCTTGTTTTTTCAAAGAAAACTGAAGAAGCTGGATACTCAAACTCCACTTTTTTTAAACAGGATTAGGGGACTTAACTTCCTTAGATCCTTGACAAGATTTATCCTTACTAGATTTATTTGGTATTTCTATGGGAACAGTAGAGAAGTTCCTTTATTACCAACAGGCAGCCTTCTTGCCTGCACCAATCCAATCCAATAGGTGCAGTTTTGGCTTTCTCTTCGCCATTTTTAAAATAAAGTTAAATAAACACAAAACCCCCAAACAATAGGCTTACCCACTGGTAGTGAATAGTGCTAAAAAATAAAGGCAACTGTTGTTGCACTCTGTACTTGTTCTTTGCTAATGCATACTGTGAGAACGCTAGTAGATTGATGACCTCACTTCCAAAGCCCCATAAATAAATGGGACCAACTCCACTAAAAAGCTAGGGAAAATAGAGGCCTCTATTAGAAAAAGAACCATATAAGGGCCAGTAAATAAACCTTTTTGTTTCTTAACTGCTGTCTCTGATGGGTTTGAACAGCAAAAATGCAATGTGCTGCGCTGTCTTTGTTTATGTTAAAAAAAAGTAAGAACTGTTTCTTGGGCAAAAGGAGGGAAAAATGCTTTCCACATCTGTTATTTCAGCAGACCTATGAAGGCTGCTGTAATTATTTTATATTTTCTAATGCTTTAAATTCATTTCCCACCCAGTATTTTATTTCAGCACAGGACTATAAAGCAAGGGGACCCCAGCCGAGTTGTATAATACCTGTGGAACAGGCTGATACTGCCACCTTGGGGAGGACTCTTTCCACATCCTTTGAGGAGCCTAAGCACATGTCATATTAATCAGTTTGTTTTTTCCCAGTCATATCTTCCCAGAAAGACTTCCTAAAGCCCTCTGTCCATTCTGTCATAAGATCTTCCAGATGTGTCCCACCTCAGAGTGCATTACACTAGTTACAGTACAGGAAAGAAATGCCTTTTTTGTGGGGAAGTTGTTAAGTTCTAGATACCATTAGCAGTGCCTCATTGACACTGCTCTTCGGTTTACAACCATCTTGCCAGCGTTAGAGCCCTGCTCCATCTCCAACTAGGCAAGCCAGGTTCTGTGTAGGTTCTGCTTCTGGGATTTTAGCTTTCTCGGTAATTCCGAATCCTTGTCTATGCAAAGCTTAGACCATCTCCCGATAGGCTACTGGCTCAGTTGGATGTGACTACTAAGCCATATACTGCCTCAGATACAATAAGAGCCATTACTGTGCACAGGACTGGTAAGTTCAGAGCTGGACTGTTATAATCAGATCAAAATCAAGACTTCGAGGCAAATTAAGGGAAACATCTGGATTTAATTGTCACAGTAACCTTAAGTCTTACGAGACTGACCAACTCTTTCACTTTTCAAGTGAGTCACCTGCTTTGCAGTCGTCTTCGAGTTTGTACCCACTAGCAGATGAAGGAACCTTGCCATATACTTTAGATATAAATATGCCTTGAGACAAAGCCTGTGCAGCACTTTGTTGCATACAGCCTATATGGCTTTGAGCTGCAAGTTTTGTTGCAGCGAAATCTAAAACCTTGTGGTAGGTGCCTAAGCTACTCATACAATACAGGGAAAGATTTAAGGTTTCACCTCGCGCTAGAAGAGGCAGGCCCCAAAGCAGAAAACTGTCTAAAAGAAACTGCCTATGCAGTCTTAGAAACATGCAGCAATGAAATTATTACATAGCTGTCTAGAGCCAAGTAACACAGAAATTATGAGCTCATGCGAATTTACATGAGGAGGCTGTGAAGGCACTAGTTTGCCTCCATTAGCTCCTACCCCCTGCCAAACACTGGCTGTACTTGTGGCACCACAGTGGGAGACCAGAGGCTTCTGGAGGAACTAAACCTCACCGCATTGCTGCAGCACGCAGGAGCAGCCTGGCACTGCAGTAAACCAAGGCTCCCAAGTGCCCACATAAAGCTATGCTTTGGATGACAAGATCCCTGGGCTCTGGAAAGCGCCTTCCCCTTTCCTCCCCACCACAGACAGCGTGTGTACCAGATTCTTGCGCTCCCCGTAATGACAGAGATCTTAACTTCCTTGGAGTAAACATCCACCCACCTGGCATTTACAGTCTGAGAGCAGGCGGTATCTCAACCTTCCCTCGTCAATAGACAAGCCAGGCTCACTCCATTCTTCTGCTGTATTACTATAACCCAGTCATTAAAGTAGTAATTTAGATTTATTTTCTGCTAAGGCACACAAGATCAAAACAGTACTTCCCCCCTTGCAGGAAAACATCTAAAAAGTAAGTGACAGGCCCTTTCTGGAGGGTCTTTTCACCTCAGCTTTTAATGCCACCACAGCACGGCAAAGAATGAACGTTTGCGAAAGGAAGTGTCGTGCCAACAGGAAGGATTGAGGCCATCTGGCTTCTAGCTACTGCACCTAACTGGCAATGCTGCAAACCTGCAGGGTTTTTTTGGCTGATTCACAAATAACTTGTATTTTAATCCACTACTGTTTGTTAGGCAAACAGCTTTACATCTGAATTAGATTTAAATCATGCTTTGAAAAATACTGCAGTTATTATTTCATTGTAAGTGCAAATGGACTGTCATGTACATACATGAACACACATTCACGAAAAGGCAGCACCGAAAATAACCCCGCTACCTCCGTTATCACTCTCATATTAAACTGCTAGTACAACTTTCATATATACCAAATTCACACAATCTCTAAAGCGATTGCAAAAAACTGTATCTGCAGGTATCTGCAGGTAGCAAAAAATTAATAGACAGTGCAATTACTGACGAAACATACCCGACTGGATGAGGCTCCATCAGTAATAGATTAACCAGACTAATGTGTGCGTAACAGTCTCACTGTGGTACGCTGCCACTATTAGTTTCAAAGTTCATGTATGAACTTTTATTATTCAGGACAAATGGTGTATGAACGAAGTCCGAACAAAACAAGAATTTAAGGGAGAATAAGGTAAGTGAGAGCATATCACATTAATCTAAGGATTTAAGTCTAGATTGCATATAGAAAAAAAAGGAAAAAAATATTCCTTGATGATGATGATAAGCAGTATAGAATTCAAAAAGGAATACATCAATACATGTCCACCTAAAGTAATATTATTATATTACAGAGAATGATACGAAGCACATCTAGACCAATGAACTACTGAAGACATCAATTTCATAAGGTGCCTTTAAAGAAGAAAAAAAAAGGATTATACTGGTACTCCCTTTAAAAAAGGAGAAATTGATGGAAATTATCCTTGTTTCATACGCTGCCAGTTTTGTAAGGAAAAATCATCACGTACAGATTTCATTGTTGTCTATAACAAAAATATGTCAAAGAATATTAAAATATAACATACTAAAAATATTTTAAAATATAAAAATATAAAAATATTAACTAAAGCTTTCAGGTTTGGCCTCGTATTGAAATTATTTCAAAAGATTGATTTGGGCATGGATTTAATATGAAGGAGGAACCTTGAACTGCATATGCAGAAATCTAAACAAATTAAACAATCACAGGCATCCCAGGATAATTCTAAAATTATCCACGATCTCTCTAAAACTACACAAACACAATAGCTTAAATAATCTTTCCAAAGTTTAGGCACCATTGATAATTTAAAATCAACTACTTATTCCCCAGTGTGGGTTTCTGTCTCAAAAATCTCTGAATTTATTTAATAAACCCAGTATTCCTGCTAGACAATTAATGTGCAGCAAAAGCCCTTCAGATAGTAGATTACAGAAAAGAAAAATGAAAAAGAATGAGAGGGTTTATTTATAAACAGTTAGAGTAATTGGAAATAATACTTACTTATCTCCTCTCTCCATCCACCAGCTTATCCTTTTCTTTCATGCTAGGTGCACCATAGCAGTCTAAAAGATTGTAAAAATTTCCAGAGTCTCAGTTTGGACTGGGGTCAGAATCTGCAGCATTGGCTATTTCAGGGCTTCTCGTTTCACTAAAATAAACTTCCCATATTTATCTGCATCAGAACACTATTTTGGATCATTGTCTATTTCAACATTATTTGCAGCTGAAGATAGACATACTCTAAGCTGTCTTCGGCTGTGAAAAAGCGCTTTGTACAAGATAAGCTACTTGTCCCAAACCATCCATTTTCCTTTAAACAGGTAAAGATTTACTTCCTGAAACATGTTTTTTTCATAACAGCACACATTTTTCTCTATTCTCTTCTTCCTCCTCTGATTTTTCTCCTTTTCTTAGTCATTCCCCGCATGCCAATGCTCCTTTCCTCAGTTGTTTGCCAGCTCCTCCTTTCCTTCCCTTCTTTGTTGAAATCACCTTAGTCCATATTTGCTTTACTTGTTCCTCAAACTCTTGTCATACCTGACTTTGTCCCAGTTCTTCCAGCACAGGCACTACACTCATCAGCCTGTTCGGCTATGGTCTCATAGCTGTGACACCTTCCGTGGAGTTTCACTACTCTGAAGCAGCAGGCTGGAGAAAGACACCAGACGAAGATCTGTCCTTGGATCGGACAGAAATGTGTGTGTTGTGTTGATTGTCTATCTACACTATGTCATCCTTAAACATTTCAGGCAGAAAAAGGCACTCAAAAAACACTGAACTTTGCCATTCTTGTGTGCATTTTTTTTTTTAAGTTGCTAGCTGAAACAGCCCATGCTATTTGCTCTTCACTTAATGACAGGTTTGTGGATAAAACCTTATACAATGGCAGAGAGCAATGAGATGACCATTAATCTTGCTGTGCTCGGAAGAACTCAGACCGGTAAGAGTGCTGCTGGGAACAGCCTGCTGGGCAGCTACGACTTCGAAAGTCATCTCTCCCCCAGCTCTGTGACTACATGTTGCAGCCTTGGATGTAGCAGCCGCATTTCAGGGGTTATACGAAGAAACGGCTGTGAGCTAGCTCTCCGTGTTCGAGTACTTGACACTCCAAGCTACCCACACAGCAGTCTGAGCAAAGAGCAGGTGCAACGGAGAGTGAGAGCAGCCCTGGCTCAACACTTCAGAGAAGGCCTACATCTAGCTCTCTTGGTCCTAAGGGCTGACTTGCCTCTGTGTCCTGATGAAAATGATCACACAATTCAGTTCATCCAGGTAACAACAAATAAACAAACAGACGTCTCTGCCATAACTGCAACTCTTTTGTCTTCAGGTAAAATAGAAGACGACTATGGAAGTTAACTGCTTTACTTGTTCCTCTATGGAACTCTATGGAAGCGTTAACTGCAAAATTAAAATAGAGAAGTACAGCTGAAAACTGGAACACTTTCCAGGCCAGAGGTCAAAACATATTCCATTCAGAACTCCAACCCTCCATGTCATAGTTACACTTATACTAAATCTGAGAAGAGAGAGATAAGAACTGGTATTTATTGTACTTGGACTCCGTATAAAGGAATTCAGGAATCTAATTTACCTAGTAAAATAAGCTTTTCTCTCAGAAGTTACATTTAAAGGGTTATCATGGCAAATCAGCTGTGCTGAGGAGAAGTGCCATTTGAAGTAAAAGTCACATCACTTTCCTATACTTCATATAAGAAAGAATACTGACCAAAACAGAGAACGATGAGTCCAAAATCATGCAGAAGATCTGTGACTGGGACAAGGGTATAGGACACTCAGCAAACTGTCCTGCACTGTCACTACCGCTGTATCTGTTCAAGAGAAAATAACTAGAAAGTTACCATAAAGTTACTTTGGCTAACGAAAATTTCTAGCATAACTGACTGAAAGCAAATACTTTGAACTTCTGGGGCAAAATATTTTTGGAAGTGGATGAAATATGTAGGAGAAAGAGATAGAGAAATTGGAATGGCTTTCTGGTGCTTTTCAATCGGAAATTTCTCATTTCCATGAATACTCTTCTTGGAAAAAGAAGCCAGCAAAGGCATATTGCTCAGTCCATCTATCTGATCAAACAACCAGGCTCATTCATATTATTTACAAAGAAACAAAGCGTTTGCTTCATTATTCTCAAAGTCCACACATTACACTTAGCCATAGCATCTGTGTATTATACAAATGAACTTTATAAAAACCTGTAAGACTAGAAGAGACTTCCTGGTCCATCAAATCCTTATCACCTGCTGCAATTGGCAAAGTGCAGTCTTATAAATAATTTTCAAAATGCGAGTTGTTCTTCCTTTCCTCCCAATTACTCCCTGTTGGTCGGCTAAACCTTGCTTTCCTGGTAGTTAGAAACTTGGTTCTAATCTTCATCACACACTTACTCATTGCCAGTTAACATATTTTTGTTCTCAGCATCACTCTTTCTTACATAGTTCTCCATCCATCTATACCTCATAGCATTGAAGGGAAAGCAGTATTTTCTCAAATATTTTTATCCTGATCCAGTGCAAAAGCATCATGCTCCCAGTTTGAGATGCTTTTGGATCAAGTACCCCTTGGAATTAAAAGTATAAGAGATCCCAGAAGAAATTTTCTTTTTAAGTTTGGCTTTAAAAATCCCTACTGGAAAGAAAATAAAGCATGTTAAAAGACAACGAGGAAGCAATCCTGTTACTTCTCTTTCAAGACTGTAGTCAGCTCTCAGTTTTCATAATGCTTGCCTTTTTAGCCATTCTCCCCTTAAAAGCCCTGATGCTACAATAATTTTATTAGCACGAACAAATATGACAGGACAGCTAGCAGGATTCTGGAAAATAAACACTAACGGTAATTTGTGGCACCAAAAAGGTGCTAACATGAGGGCCACCTTTAGCTATCAGGAGTTCTTGCAATAATTCTCTGCATATTAGGGATAGAATATTAATAATTCACAGAAAAGACTACAAGTATTTAAATCTCTCTGGATTTTTTATTTCATAGCCTAATAAACTGAGAGAGTGGCAAGGAATCAGATACTGATTTTGGGAACTAGCATTAGCACTGACTTATCTGAATCCTGAGCAAACCAAGGCACTATTCTCTCTTCCTAAAACCAATACCTGAACGCTTCCTTAGTCAGCATGACCATTTGTTCTTATGTACTGCATCTCCCCTTCCTGCAGTTCGCAGAAGGCTAACTGTAAGCTAAGAGCTATGCCAAAATATTCTTAAAAAATCTATTTTGTAGGGAAGGGTTTTATTTTTTCACTCTTAGCGTCCAAAACAGATTAATTGCTATCAATATATTAGGTTCTTCTAGTTCCTTAAATTTCTGAGAATAGGAAGACATCCTTTAGAGCAGTTTGATAAACCTTATTCAGGTTATATAGTTGTTTGGGCCATAGGAAGATGGACTTTATTACTAAAATAGGTTTATTGTCACACACACAGGAGTTGGTGTGACTGCAACTACAGTAATAATTGAAAAATTAAAACCAGCTCTCTTATTCATATGAACATTTTCTGTACACACTAATAAAAAAAGTAGCTTTTCTCCAGCCCCTCTCCATCAGAGGAACCACATCAGTTAAATACAACCTCTGTGGTCCAACACTTAATTTGATGCATTTGATTAGTATCTTTCCTTAATTGCTAAGAATAATTACAGTTTTATGAGATATAGCAAGATTGCAGATTGGTGCTACATACAAATTCATGCTTCACTTTTTCCGCACTCAGTGATTTTTAAAACCTTTTTTCAAGAGCCGAACAAAAAGTGCAGCAATATCTTAGATAAGTTGAAAACTACTCATTTAAACTACTTGAAATTGGTTTTCTACAGTGACGTGTAACTTAGCTACACAACATCCATTTCCCTTATTTATTTAGACCTTTTTTAAATCCAGAAAAACTCTTATTAGCATCTGTATTAACAGAACAGAGAATTGCCCTGTACAGCATGACCACCTATTTCCACTACAAGTGGTTATCAACGTCTTTGATGGTCAAAACCCCCAGAAATTTCAGCAACTCAGATTGCGTGAACTGGGCTGCTGCCAAGAAAAGAACACACTCTTCTGTTTATATACAAGTATATGAGGTGGGAGCGGGGAAAAGAAACAAGAAAAGATAACTATTTAAGATTTGTTTTTCATTACAGGAACTTCTGGGTCCCACATGGAAGGATTTCACTGCAGTTTTACTTACTCATGCAGACAGGACAGAAGAGGCTGGATTCAGTGAGGATGCTTACTTGCACAGTGCCTCAAGTACCCTGTTGTCACTTTTGAGCTCAGTACAGCACAAATACATTTTCCTAGACAACCAAAAGAGCATAATTAAAGAGGAAAGAGCTACCATCTTAAGCAAGCTCTTGAATTTTATAAGAAAAAATAATTATCAATTGCTTCTGCTTAAACACACAAAGGAATAAGATGAGCTTTCAGGTGCTCATTTACCTGTTTTCTATTGTACATAATACTTAATAGAAATAAAACCCTAAAAGTCAACAGTCGGTACATTCTACACTCATACTGAATATTTTCATGTTTTAACACATAGTTGGAAATCTTTCTTTAGTATACCAAACTAACTGCCTTTCATAAAATACCTTGCACTGCTGATCCAGAATCCTAGCTTCAACTACAAAACCAGATCAAGGTAGCGCTCTAAATCGTGCTCCTAATACGTGTGTAGCCACAAATGAGATTTTACACTACAGCAGATCTTATATCGCAGTCCATACGGAACACAAATCTGGAAAAAGAAAAAAGTAAAACATGCACATGACTTCAGATGGGGCTGTGGCACTGCAAGGGGAAAGGGAGCCTCTTCATTCAGCACTCAATTCTGTAGGCTTTCAAGCAGAAGTTTCTCTGAAGCCCAGAGTTTGTAAAGAGCTTTCCAATATTAAAAGGTAGGAGCTATGTAAAAATACTTCCCTACCTTGATTCAAAATTAATTAGAATTGAGAGTTTGAACTTTAATAATTTTGTTTAATAAGACATTACTGGATACGCAGTTTACAAGGCAGTTAAAATAGCTCCCATGTGCTTAATATTATTTGGCACATTTGAAAGAACTAATTACTATTGCTTATTCCCAGATGCATGAAAAATTAACACAGTTAAGTATATAGGCACACATAAAACTCATTCCAAAAAGGAATCTGTTATCTCTTCTTTTATGCCTGTTCCTTTTTATTTTATATCACTGCAATTTTGTTTTCTCTCCCAGCTTACTGGATGAAGTTCAAAGCCTGGGAAATTCAGAGTGACTAAGACTCCGACTATTTTTTTAATTTCAGTGGTTAGAAAAGTGCTTACTGTTTTAGTGGTAAGAAAGCAGACAGTTAAACACTAGATGCTAAAACATCTGAACCATCTCTAAATAGCTACTTAAAAGGTTTATTGCAAACTGATCTAAAATGGTTCTTTTCAAATTATGAAGGGGCAGGAATTATAAAAAGTAATTTGAAGCTATTACGATATCAATTGTGACTACTTGTACTATTTTATTATAGATTAATTCCAATTTTAAGAACTGAAGAAGCTATTTCTTTTACACTACAGCATCTGTTGTATAAAATATTATTGCTTATAAGGACATTAAAACCAAAAATTGATTTGTCTTATATTTGTTTCTGGCATTGGCAACTGACTTTCTTTTTTTTAAATTGACTAACTAATTGACAATCTATTCTCTATATTCACTACTTATTAGTATTATTTGTCATTTAAAAGGAAATCTCTAGGTGGAAAAGGTGAAACCCAAGAACTACATTAGCAAAGTGACAGCTTTGATTTTATTTAAATTGTAACACTTAAAAGCTATACTTTAATCTTCGCATTAGTGAAGTCTGGGGACTACTCAGACAACACAGCTAAGAACAGAGTTGCAGAGGCTTATAATATTTGAGAGGTGTTTAGGAGAAGGGGATTGAAACTATGGAAAGACGACAAGAGGAGTAAAGATGACTGTGGCCTTCAGTGACCAACCATCAGTCAGTCTTGCACCTCTTGAACAGAGTTTAGCATGCAAGGAACATGGCAGAAAATTTGTCTTCCTGAGATGGATGGTTTTGCTTAGTAGAACCTCTGAACCTTGTAGCTGTCCAGAGAATATGTTTGCCTGCCTTATGCACCCTTTAGTTCTACCATGAACAAACCTTGGCAATTACATCTTAAACACTAAATAGTTAATGACTGTTGATAATACTCAACTTCAAAGATAGCAAGCATAGGTAATGAGTGAGGTGGGAAAATCTTGCAGGCATAACACCTTCAGTATCTCTGATAAAGGAATCAAACAAAAGAAAGGAATTAGCCATGCATTTGGGAGGGGCAATATATTCATGTCTTTATTGTGCTTGCATTACTTTCCATTTCAACATCTGAAAAACCTTCTAATAACCATTTATTTAATTCCGCTGTTTGCCATGGTCTCTGCACGGCAGACTCCTTTCCCTTTCACTTCAAATGGAACTCCTTTGTATGTAGCAACACACTGGTCATTGGTACGAAGGTCAGGTTGGATTTGCTCCCAAATCTTCTTCTTGGGATTAAGTTCCTTCTCAGGATCTCCTGTTTAGAAACAGAGAATAACCTAATAGCACACAATACAGAAGGCAGGGCAAGAGCTAGGCGTACACACATGTCTGTGAAGGCACACATAGTAGCACTGCACATAAACTCTTAAAGGGAAGAATATCAACTGCAACTCTCAAAGTGAAAACTTTAATCTTAACCGTATTATAGGACTAGGAAACGTCTCTTGATCCTCTCTCTAAATGCTGATCTTTCAAGGGAAAAAAGGGTTTTAAGGAGCTAACAGACCACAAATCAAGAGGAAGAAATCAAACCAGTGCTAGTTTTTGGATTACAAAATTTAAGAAAGACCAAAAGGATTCCCAAGAATTAAGTAGACACTGATCACAGAAGCACATTACTCACGGAGACACAGGTTTGTCTGAATCCTAAGTTTAGGAATTAATGCAAATTATTTCTGAAATGTCATTAAGTGAATTTGGCAGGTGCCCTTACAGCTGAGAAATATGGAAGGTAGGCAAGAATAGTCCAATGTTAGGGTGATGACATACAATTTGAGTCCCAAGTTTCAACGTTGTTCTGCTACTTTTTGTACTATTTGGGGACAAACTCTGAAGCCTAAAATAATTGAACTGTTAGAGGCCAAATTGTACTTAAGCAATTTTGGCCTCAGTCTCTATATGCCTCAGTTCCGTTTTCACATGCACACCACGGTAAGCTATCTATCTCCCAGAGATACTGAGAACCTAACTACGTTAGGAAATCTGGCTACTTCAGGATCTTTAATGACCACAAAATGTAGTCGTCTTCTACTAAAGCTTTGAAATACTGTTAACAAATGATTCAGAATAGTGGAGTATTTCAGAGTCAAAATACCCTTCCTATTTTTTTTAAATAGGCATGAAATGCAAAATAGACGAACCAAAGAACTAATCTAAATGAGCTCTCTTGCTGTTAAGATTTATACTGCCTGCCAACATAATCTAGATAAAGCAAGACAGCCAATTCACTGTACCATTTATTTTCTTTTCCAAGGTCAAGTGAATTTCATTTCTAAATTCTAATAAAATGTAGATCCTCTTAAAGTAAAACAAGATTTCATTAAACAAAGTTACTTAATCATTATGCAGGTGGGTACTTTTAACCTCTTGTGTGTACCTCATAGGCAGGACAAATGAAAAACACATAGCTTGCTTTAAAAGAATTAGGGCACATTTAAATCCTGCAAGGGATCCCCATGCTATTTCAGTGCTGATATAGATTATCAATAGAATATTTTACTTGCTAGGAGTGCCACTTTGGCCCGTTCTGCCCATATAACTAAAGTCTTCAGTTTCAGGAAAAACAGGAATCAAATAAATTCCAGTGTGTGGGAGAAACTGTATCAGTAAGTCCATATATGATAAGAACAGATCCTCCCTGAGATCTTCTCAAAGAAGCTACAAGTTTCTAAAGGAAAATGACAAAGTTCCCCAGAGCAGAACGCTAAGCACTCTCATCTTCCACTACTCAATCCTCCCAGTGACTCAGGCAGAAATACTGTAAAGCAGCAGGGATTTTGAGATATGTTTTTCTAGTAGTAGGCTGAAATTTGTTAGTGCTTGGTGTATTCTTGCCTGGCTGACCAACAGGTGCATAAACAAAGTCCTGTGATTCTGAACTGCCCTCTTATTTTTCTCCTTTCAGCATTTTCAGTGATTCAGTCTACTCATGTTCTCAATGCTTGCAAAAGTAAGCTACTTCAGCCTGCAGCTGGGTTTGTAACCTCTATAGCTTCTATATGGGTAACTGCAAGAGAAGCAGCTGACCAAATTTCTCTATTAAGCAGGCCAGCCTTACCAGAGCATGATTCAATAATGCAGGCAAGTTATTTCACCATGGCAGTGTACTTAATATTTAAAAGAACAGCACTACCACCATTAATAATGTACATACTCGGAGCTAATTGAGCATTTTCACAAAAACAAGAATCCTGTTCAATATTAAAGTTTATGAACAAAGACAGGCTTGGATTTAGACCAAAGTGAATCCGTACAAACTCATAAAATCATTAAACGGAATGTTAAACGATCCACTGTGCATTTCCTTCCCCTTCCCCAAATACTGAAAAATTCACTTGCTTTTTATAAGAACAAAACCTGATTTTTATTATAAAAAACATGTTCTGGATGTTAATAAGTTTCTTTGGAATCCCAAGTCAAGCTCCCTTGGGATCTGTGGTGAGTTCATATTAGATTAGCATAGGCACCAATTTTAAATACTACCAGAGCTCTAAGCTGTGCAATTTCTTTTGCCTTCCCCTCATCGCATTCCTTTCTCCCAGAAAATATTCTTTAGAAGGATATCTATAAATAAAATCAAAATAAACTTATAGTGATTTAATGAGATTCCCACTCTCTTTATATAAAATAAAGAGTCAAAGGTCCCAAATTTTGTTAAACAAGTCATCTGGCCTAGCAGTATAAATATGACATAGAGAAGTTCTCACAATAATCAAGAAACCTTTATTTTCAATAACAGTTAATTAACTTATGAAAGAATCTATCTCAGCACAAAAGCAGACAAGAAGGTATGAACTAGTATCACAAAAGCAGCTTAAGACAATACATACCAGTTTATCCTTAAAAAAAGAAACAACAAAAAAAACTCACCCTGGAACAAAAGCGTGAACTTAGGAGAAGTCAACACCACTTATTCCATTACAGAATACAGCTTCCACTGAAGCAAAGCGTCCATACACCAAAGCTCTGATTGAAGAAGCCTGCTATTTACAGACCAACCACTGCATTTCAGGTTTAGCACCGTTTATTTTGTAGAGCTAGGTATTAACCGAAACGCCAGGAATTTTTAGGCTAGAACTAGTACTTAATCATATAACTTGTGCAACAAATTTGTGGCTCCTGTGGTATTTTTTGCATGGAAGAATTTTGTCAAAGCATCAGTGATACTGCTACTAGAAGGAAGTTTTCATAGTAAGCCACGAGAAATCCAAAAATTGCTGTCTTAGGCCAATTAGGGTTTGGAAAGGTATAGCATGCATATACGCATGAGGAATAATTTTGTTATGGCTTGTATGAGTCAGACTCATGAAGAGTCTCCCACAGACTCCCACTGAAGTTGGATATACATTTAATAAAGTTTTTAATGCAAAAAAATTATATCTTGCAGCTTCACATATTACAGCGTAAAGGAGTTTTTTTGGTATCATACAATTCATTACAGTGCTCCCACGGACAACGGCATTAAATGCAGAAAAAAAAAAAAGGAATAGTCTCCTCCAGGCAACAGTACTCTTTAGCAAACCTTTCATCCTCTAAAAGATTGAAGAGGATTCTGAAAAAACTCTCAAGTTTCTTCAGAAAAAAAAAATCAATTAGTTTGAAGCAAGTTAGCCTTTGTTTGCTTTAACTAAAATGAGCAAAGAAAATTAGCCTGTATCTCATGAATAATTTATATGGTGAAAGAGGGAAAGTTTAAAAATAACTTGAGTCCAGGCTGCTCGACGTTAGACGGCTGTGTGTGCTTTAGAGCAGCTTCACTGTTGCTGTTGTTGCTCCTGTTGCTTCACAGGCTTTCATATTTCAAACTAAAATCAGACCCAGCTGTCCTTTCTATTTTAAATTTCAGTGACTCAAAACTGAATGTTTATGGTTTAAAAATGCTCTGAAAAAAAAATATATATCAGAACATAAATGGTTATAATTAAGCACTATGGTTAAACGACATCTGAAGCAGCGAGGATTCTACATTCTTGATAAGGGTAGCAGTGTGCCAGATTGCCTCTGAGGAGGCAGCAGCTAATTGTATGAGACTAACACATAAAAGCCATTTGGAAGATATAGATATGCAGCCCCACTACAAGTAAGAGGAACTTAGCTTTTTAGTCTCCCAGGTTTTTCTCAGAAAACCAATAAAGTCCTTTAAAAAAAGAGAATGTTCAGAAACCAAAAATCTCGGGGCGGGGGGGCATCGCAGCTGTTAATTACAAGGTAAGCGGCAACAGTCTCAGTCCTCAGCTTACAAGAAATAATAAAAAAAAAACCCAAGCAACCCAAACCCCTAACAATGAACAATATCAGTATCTTAGTTTATGGTTTGCAAGAGTAAAGTGCCCAAGAAATTTAGTTACAGTAGATACCAGTCTGATTTTATAGTCTCCAACCACTAACATTATCTTCTGGGTTTTTTTCCCTGCCCTTTCTTACTCACTCCAGGGTAATAAAATTACAAGCCTTAAAACTTCTCTTTACAATTATAAATTTTGTTTAACTATTTTAGTAAGACAGACACTATATTGCCAGGCAATAACTACAAATACTAATCCCAGCACTCAGACTAGCAGACTGTGTATTAGCTTTTAGCACTTAGAGATCTTAATCAGTCTTATAAATTTTAGGGAGAAAAATATATACATCCTACAGTCCTTAAGTAGTAAAATCTAATAACGTTTAGTAAGACTGTCAATATTTTACAAATATATTTATGTGACACAGTAAATATTTTATCTTTGAGTCTACCTTATCTAGGTGACCCACTGTCTCCAACAAATTAGGCCTCAACCAACGGCTCATTAACAACAAATCCAATAACTAATAACCTCATGTAGCAGTTTTATCCAGCGGATTTACACACGGATATTATCATCGACAGGAAGAGAGACTGCATGACTCCATCAGGCTCTCATTAAAGCAGATGGATTCAGTAGGATTTGGCATATATCTACCCACATTTAGATTGCCAATGAACCGACTTTCCCTTCACAGCTATAGATGGCTGGTCAAATGCCCGAATTTTCAACAATTTATTTTTATTTACTGAACATGGCTGTGCTTTTTTGTTTCTTTGGGGGGCCGGAGGGTTAGGGCTTTTTTCGAAATTGTTACTGAGGCATCCAACACCTCGCTTTGCTGTGTGACCATCAGCAGCCCCAGCTGTGGCCCTAAGGCTCTCTCCTCCCGACTCTGTCATTCCTCTCATCCCTCTTGCATTAAAACTGCACAAAAAGAAGCGTGGAAAGGAATTTGGTGTCCAGACTCCAGTCAACTTAATCAGAGACAGAAGAGCTAAAACTTTTTGTAAACTAAAACCATCACAACTAACCCTTCTCTACTCCTTTCACCTTCACTACGTTTCATAGCCTGCATCGTCTTCAACGCTGTGCATTCCTAATATTATGTCTCCATCATAATTTAGAACAAACCTTTTGGGACAGAGACCAACGACTAATTTTACAATGCCTACCACATAGGAGTCCTTTTCTTGCTTGGCTCTCAGGCACTAACAACAAGTTCCCTGTCTCTAAAAAACAAATCAAAACAACAAAAAAACAAAACAAAAAACCTATTGAAATATCCTACATTGCACTGGCATCTCATTTGGATCCTGTGTGCACTCTTGCACATTAGTCATTCTTAAAAATCCCTCCAATCTATTAATATTATATGCATGATTTTATTCATCACGTATGCCATTATATGCCAGTTATCTTATTATAAATCAGCTATTTCTGCCAATGACTAACTGCTGAGGATGCAAGTATTTTCTTTAGAACTATCAAAGTAGTACCTTTTAAATAAAGGTGTTTCCAGCTTCTCTTCCCGTTTTACTACAGAAATTCTAGGAAATGTACTGCTCTACTTTGTACTGTTCAGCACAAGGTGTATTTTCAAAAGCAGTGATTAGCTTTAATCTCACACCTACCAATTCTACCAATTATCCAACATTGGGAACCACTGCCATATTTCAGACTACAATTTATAGCCCTGGATGTATACACTTTTCAAATGTGTTGTAAAAGCCTTCATTTGGCACTTATCAAAGCTCCGTGAATGTCCTTGGCTCCCTATCAGAAGGAAATGGCTATAAAGTGTACAAAACCTTATAATGCAGGCTGGAGGCACCAAGTTTGGGTCTCAAGTAAAGCTTTTACACCACATTCATCTTTTATTCTACATCTTTTTAGAATAAAAAGTTTACAGAATATCAGCATATCTTAACACCTGGGAATAATTTTAAAATAACTGTTGCTATAAATGATTTTCTCTAGGAAAAAGCTTTTTGGAACTCTAAATATAGAGTTAAATAATTTACTTATTTTGACAAAACAGATCTCATTAGTCCTCACGTACAAGAGCAGATATGCTGGATAATACAGCCAAACAGCACTACTATCAACTCTCACGTTATTTTCAAACGTCAGATATAAGAAGTTACTTTTGAGATGTGAATTTGGAGTAATGGTATGTCTTAGACAAAAAAAGAAAAAAAAAATCATACGATAAGGTTGACCTGCTCTTTATTTTGCAGGGCTTATCAGCTAGCAGGTTTACTCTAGAGGAATAAATCAAGAGGTTGATGCATTCTCTTGCATGCCCATTTATTCAATGGCAGAAAGTAATATGGAAGTACTACTGCCTGCAATAGAAGTCACACACCTGACAGATAATCTAACTTAAGGCATGGATATGTGATAACCAATTAAAAGCTATGAGCAATTATTGCTACAGTTTAGCCAACTGTTGAAGCTTTCCAGGTTTCGATGCAAGCGACATGCATCTGAACAAACTGATTCTGCATCTCAACTAGTAAGCTTAGTGTATTTTATACACAGAAAATTAAAAATGAAAAATGCTACATGACTGATTTCCTTCTTAAACACAGTATTGTTTTCAACCATAGCATTAAAATCACAGCAAACTGAACTTTCCTCCTCTTTCAAAAACATCTGGATAGACTGTTGCTTCCTTAATGATACATCAATCAAATTATTTTTATGGGTAGAGTTTCAATCTTGAAAAGCACCTATATGAAAGCTATTTTATGCAGATATGTGTTTAAGAAGCATTTAGCTTGCCAAGTGGTCAATAAATAAAACCACTTCCCAACAGCTGGAAAGTGTCCAAAGGTGCAATAGCTTAAAAAGATTGGTATAGTTCTACGTAGAAAATGGAAATACACATACGTATTACAGGCACAGCATACATACAACTCCTCTCAACACGGCAAAAATTGGTAGTTATACACCACCTTTTCTTAGCATAACTTGAAACCCTGACAGAGATAACAAACCAGCATCTTTGTTGACAGAGCCGAAGAGAGCAACTGGAGAAGCTGAATCTGAATGTCTCCCGTTCCCCCTGTCAGAATAATGAAACAGCATTTGGGGTAGGAGGGAATTCATTATTATGCTACATCCACGATGCTTATTTGACCTAACAGTTTGCACAGTCACAAACTCTGATTCATCTTAACAGATAGGCTGGGGGCAGGGAGTTGAGGGGAAGGGGAGGGAAAAAGGAGAAAAATCATCTCTTGATATAGTTGGGATTTGGTTATTTTCTTATTTATATTCTGAAAAACAAGCATTTGTTTTTTAATGGAAAAACTCCAATGCCTTTTTCTGGGGACCCAAAAAGTTATTTCCAAAAAACAACTGGTATTTTGAATATCCTAGGTTCCCTTCATAAATAGGAGATGCCCCTCTCCCACGTCACTATCCTCCTCTGGAAAAAGCCGAGCTCAAGTTCTGACATGTTTATTAAGGGGAAGGACCTGGAATCAGGACCTTATTACTTCACCACTTATTTACGCTGAGACACTGGGCAACACAGTTGCTCCTTCCATGTCTTACAATTGCTTACTGTAACTTCCAAAGTGCAAATATGCTTGCTCATAGGTTTGCAAAGCAGAAATACTTATTCATACTTAAGTTTCAAAAAAGTGGGTAATTTTATATGAAAGTTTCTATTTAACTTTTGGGGGTTATAGTTTTTCCCAGTATCTTTCAAGTTGTGCCTTGGAGATAAATATTTTCAGTGGTTTATTTACAGAATCCTAGCACATTAACAATAAAAAAAATGTTTAATATTACTAATTCAAAAAATTTTAACCTCAAAAATGCAACTAGCTTTAAAAGACTGTTTTATCTGCAACAACATTGATGTCACCTTGGCAAAGGCCAGCTGTCTCCTGCAATTTCCCCATTTCCCCAATACCTACTGCTTACCAGGAAAACCTTCAAAAGTGATTCTTTCTCCAGGGACTGCCCCTGGTGGGGGAGTCAGAATTTCCACTTTATCGGGGGAGCTGGCACACATCACCATTGCTTGAGATACTACTCCTCTCATCTTTGCAGCCTTCAAGTTACAGAGTAGTATTGCCATCCGATTCTGCATCTTGGGGGAGGAAAACAAAAGGACATAAGTGATCATATGCCGTATGCTTTTGGGGACTATAATTATTTCACTATAACAAAAGAATTGCAAAGAAGGGATCTTAACATCCGTGAAAGAAGCATACAAGAATAGATACTTCCAACATTTCACCCGTGTTCCATCTTTAGTTGTTTTAGACCACCACTTCAGTCCACTTTCAATATTGTACACTGAGCGAAAGAATTCCCAGTAGAAAGAACGCTCTACAAACAACGCTAGCTTGCGGATCAAGAAGTTCTAACTGTGTACTGAAAACGTACAGGTGGCTTACCATTTAAGACTCAAAGTGAGCTACTTGTGTATCATCTTATTTAGCCAAAATGGTAGGAATTTTTTGAAACACTGAGAATGGCTGTAGAAACTGCGCACAGCAATTTATTAGCACAAAACCGTAATTCTTCCCTTGTTGTCGTATGTTAGTAAAATGGTAATGGTAAACCAGAGAAACCACACTTTGTTAGAGGACATAGCAACATTTTACGCTAGAAAACAAACAACACTTTTAAACCGAATAGAAATTAAACCCAGAAATGTCTCCAAAGACAGACAGAATGCCTTCATTCCCATGCTCCTAATGCACACATATGCATCCATAAATATTTCTAGATTTCAATCTTTGTACATTAAGCTATAACTTTAAGCTATAACTTTAAGCAGAATTGCAAGCCCAAAATTCATTAAAAACTCACATGATTAAGTATTCTGAATACTGTACATCTTCCAAGTATAACATTTAAAAAAAGCAAAACACAAATCTCAAACTAAGCAGTTAAAATGAAAAAGGATAGCCTGAATATATGCTGGATCTCACATAAATTTCAAGGCAGCCCACTGACGGAAAATTTTTCATTTCTTAGGTTATTGCTATGGAAAAATGCCCACAAAAATCCATGAAATTATTGCAAAATGTCAGTGGTTATAGATTGTTTTATATCCTAAAAAGAGAGTTTTTGACATAACCTAGGGCTGAATAACAATTTGCCAAAGGATAGACAGAATAAAAGGAACACAAAGAGTTGTGTTTGGTAAACAACTTCAGTTTCAACCAACTGGAAAAAATTCTGGAACTTTGGAAGATCACTTTTATATTTCAGATTTTCCAACTGAGAAAAGCAGATCACCTCAATACAGAAATAGCAATCGTCATCTTCATCAAATTAACAGAGGAAGAAACCCGCCAAAAATGTAGGGTCAAATCATTCACCAATCACAACATTGCATAAGATTTCTGTATGAGAAGTTATTCATTACAGTAGTAAGAAATATTTACCAACATTTCAAGCATATATATTATCTCATCATTTTTACCAGGAATTACCTTAAATGCTTGACCTTGAAATTAAACTATCTTCAAATGCTTTTGACAAACTGCTCTCTTCCTAAGCTATATGCATTAGTTTCATAGAGAAACGGTAAGAAATTCCACAGGACTTTTTTTTTTTTTAATAAAAATAAGAATTTGATTTTATATTAAAAAAATTACTATTCAAGTGTTTTTTTCCCTTTTTATTTCAAATGCTAAAGATTTAAATCATCTTCAGATAAATGACAATTCCCTAGGTACAGAGGGGAAAAAAAAATAGAAACTAGACCCAATAAATGTTTTCTGAAAATGGGACTGCTTATTATAATATTTTACGTTTCTCTGACATATTTATTCGGAACTTTATAAAAATAAGACTGTTCAAAAAAAATCCCCAAACTATTTCACTTAAGAAAGTTCATTTTAATCGTCTAAGTAGGGCAAAAAAATCATACTTTAAAAGGCTCAGGAACCTTCAAACTAAAACCTGCTAATCTGCTATCTGCTGTAATTAAACTTCAAAATACATAGAAACTGATCCCTAAAGTGTTGGGGGTTTTTAAAGCCAGTTTTGCCTATTTTTATGGAAGGGACTTATTGTGACATTTTCAGAAAATATGACTTGAATTAAAATGGTAAACCCTGTGGACTTATCCATAATGAATGAGGGGAAAAAAAACCACAAAACCAAAAAACCCACCACCTTTCAAAAATAAGTATTCACGAACCAGAAAAGAACATGATATTCAGGTATCTCTGCAGTTCTGACTTGCTCCTGCGAGGTCTTTTTTTTTATTTTTTTTATAACAGCTAATAAATAGAGCACCTAAACGCATCAGCTATAAAGAGTGAGATTCAGTAGTGATATTCATGGCCTCTAGCTGTAATCTTATAAATTAGAAGAACAAAAAAGACATTCTAGTTTTTCAGAAGGAAGTATAAAATAAATTGGAGTGTTTATTGACAGACAGATAAGATTAGGAATAGAGAAAATAGGAAAAAAAATTTACTCCTTTCCCAGTATGAGAAAACTTTTATTACAAATACAGAGCACTACTGAAATGCAGCTGAAGGGGACACAGATAAACAGTTTCCTTGTGCATATGTGTTATCTTGCAGTAAGGAGTGTTCTGGTTAAGAATAACAGGATAAATCTCTGCACTTAAGTGACACAAACAACACCAAGCCTATGCCTACAGGGAGCTGATAAGGCTTTGGCATCCTAAGAGGTGCTTAGTACATAAAAGGAGCTGAGAGTAGGCAAAGGAAATTCAAATGTTATCTACTGGAAATAATAACGACTTCAGCTGGTCTTCCAAAGATCCAATCCTTTTGTTTCAGGAATCCAGGAACTTCAAAACTGACAGCTAGACTGCTCAGAAGCTGCGACAGTCAATACTTTTTGCTGAAATTCAATCAATTTCTATGGTTGGACACATGAGTATCTCGGATCCAGAGCAAAACAATGTTTTCCCAACATGCCGGTAGAATGAAGGGGAAAGCATTAAACTTCCCCTAAAAAGGGGAAGTGTTAAACTGCTGTTTTCCTTAGGTAAAGCTTGAAGTCACCTGTATAATTGATTGTCAACTAACTACCCCCTCTATACGTCAAAATGAAGTACTGTGACAGCATATAATAGCTAGTGAATACAAGTTAAAACCAATACACCGATTGCTTTAAAAGCAGAGTGAGCTGCAATGCCAACAACAACAAAAAGCCCTCAATTTATTATGCACTTGTCCAGATCTAAAGTTTGCCAGCAAAAATAACACACAAACCACAAGCTCAGTTACATACATATTTCTATCTTTTTCCTACCCAAAAAGAGATAAAGTACTATTTCATACAGCCTTGAAGTGCAATGCTACAAAAGTAGTGGAAAACTTGTTTACTTTAAAAAGGAAAACTGCATTATATTACACAGGAACGGCCAAGAAGTTGCTCACGCTGAAGTCACTGTACACATGAATTTCTAATACTACTTCCAGTACTGTTTTCTAATTCCTGGGTGGACAATACTAATCTCTAAAAAATGATCTGGAAAGAAAACATCGAAGACATCTAAGTAGGAAGAAAAAGCTGGTTTCTGCTATAAAAATCAGAACATGTAGCTCATAACAGATGCATTCTCTCAGAAGGGATGGTGCTTCTAGAGATTGTCTGTAGTCTCTTTTCCCTACTAAGTTCTGAAAGCATCTCTTAAGATACTTGTCCTGCATTCTTAGTCCTTCGTTTGTAATCACTTCCAACCACCAATGTGAGGCTCCTTTAGGTCAAATAGTATTGCAGGAGTTGAGGAAAAAAAAGGTAACACTCACTTGAGAACTGTCTGAATTCCGAGAGCGATTGCCCAAGAAAGGTCTTGACGCCAGGAGCAAACAGAGATCCATTTCAAAAAGCCAAAAGCAGTAGTAGAAAGAAGAGGCGACAACTTCTGCAGATGTTTCAGAATCTTCTTACTCATTTGTCCCCAGCTATTGCCGGAAGAGCTCAGCACTGATGTGGTCCACTTCATGTTTCAGTACCTCATCCCTATTACTGATGATGCATGCATTTAGATATGACACCTAAGCATGCAACTTCCTACTTGGCTTCACCATAAAACCCTTATCCATGCATCACTGGTGCACAAAAACACCGTACAGCATACAAAGGGGGACTACAAGAAGTTTTCACACTTATGAACAGCCCACACCGCGTATTGAAATGCTAATGCAGTTGCATGCTGGGCCTCCTAACAAGAAGTCTAGTCAGATGATACACAGATACTTCATCCTGCAAAACTGCGATACTACCACTGCAGTCATAAATAGCCGAGTTTTTGAAGAATTGTTTAATACTCGGTGTAGGCACATTTGAAATGTACATTTTAATTTATTTACATGGCAATAGCCACAGGCTAGGACCTCACATTCCTAAACACTTGAAAAAACAAAAAGACAGAAGCTTGCCCCAAAGAATTTACTTGGCAAAACCTAAGCCAGACATAGAAACTAACCGTTCACAAAGACGGCGTAAATGAATGACTCCTAATTCTCTGTTGTAGTCCTCCGGATTATTTTTTTCTAACCTGAAAACAGGTTCAACAGAAGACACTTGTCTCTACATTCTGCATACTTTACGTTCACCAGTTTATTTAGGAAGGCTTTTAGTATGACTCTTTTTTACTAAGCTATCTTGGCAACAGACTGCCAATAGCAAGCAATTTGAATTTGTGCCCACTGAAAATCCAATAACTGGATACTATCAGGTGATCAGTGCAGTTCACAGAAGAGTTAGTGTATTCAGTCTTTTTTTTCAGTTCAATAACTTTCTATATTGTAAAACCACAATCACAATTTTAACTGCCTCCTACATTTGCAGCCTCACCATGGGGAGGGGATATGAGTAGGGACTGAAAAGGCACTTGAAAAAAATTCAATATTTCCACACTAATATCATTTCCTTCACAAACAGCTTTGCAGTTGGTCTGTATATCTTTGCTTTATTTTTCAAGCCTACACCTGAACGTAGAAGAAGCCTTCAGTCAATTCCTCTCTTCCCGTTAACCCTCTAAAGAAGGGTGTAAGGAGAATGCAGTCTTGAAGTCTCAGCTTGCTCTACAACAAACCATGAAAGTCTCTCTTAAACATACAAGTGTACCAACCGAAAAAAAGACAGGAGGTAAGACTGTCTATTCCAGCTCAAGAAGTGCATATACGTGTTTTGTATTCCACAGCAGTTGTCCACTCAGTGCCAGCTAATTCTCAAAGTTAAATTTACCTGATCTTTACTCCACATATCAAACCCTTCACTGATGCAAAATGACAGTTGGAAAGCAAAGATTTCAAAAGTCTGAATGGCAGCAGAAAAGTTATTATGGATTCTCTACTACACAGTAGGAACCTAAAGGGAGGGGGGAGACCTGTTAGGTTTAGGAGGGCTCTGTACCAAAGGCTTCACAGAGGAGTCAGAATAGCACCCCAGGACAGAAGCACTGCAAGGAGAAAAACAATGATGGGGGAGAGGAGAGGTGCATAAAAGTGCTGCAAGGAGAAAAAAAATGATCGGGGGGGAGGTGCATGCATCCTTCCCCATTTTTCAGCTGTTTTTAAGCCCTTTCCCACCTACAGTTTTGCTTTTGTTTTCATGATTGTTTAAAAAAAAAAAAACAAAAACCTTTTAACTGAATGAAAATACACTGCATAAATAGCTGAAGGTCACAGAGATACTTTAGGAAGGGAAGAGTTATCAGTAAATACTTTTGTTAATACCTGATCCAGAGGAACATGTTTCACTAAACCACTGACAACAGTCCTTGGGCTTGCTTCACCAACATCCACCTGTTCAACATACAGAGAGTCTGCATCCGGGTGCTTTTCGGCAGTTATGATACAGCCAACACGAAGATCCAGACGAGAAACATCTACAGGTTTCGACTCACTACTTCCAGCAGCTGGCTGCTGTTTCTTTTCCTTCTTTTCACCTAATAAAGGAAGTTTTGTTCAAAAAATAAACAAACAAACCCATAAAATCATGTATATAACTATTTGCAAGGGAAGATCATGCTACAATCTCAGAACAAAGTGCAAATTCAGTGTGAAATGTAGATGAAGCTTAGAGAGTTAAGGCTTCTATTACTAGTTCCCAGAAAATAATTACCTTAGACACTGCAAGTTAGATTGTTACTACATGTAACTACTGCCTTAGATGTTTTTGTTGCTTGTAAAACGAAGTCATACAGTGCCATATCACCGCAATATTCCAATTCTGAAAAGCTGTACAAATCAATTCACAGCAAATTAATAATAATTTGCATAAAAGAATGATTGTAAGAGATGATTTAATTTACCATACAGGAACCTGTACTTCTCTGCAAATATAACTGATTCTTATATATTTTCCTCTCTTAAAAACGTTTGTTAACTCTATTAAGTCAACAGAGACAGCTAAATAAGACAAACAGAATGAAATGCGTTATAAAACCAAGATACCCCTCTCCTACATTTCCTCCCTGCTGCCAAACCAGAGAATGCTATCTCATTTTCCCATTAATTCCTCTTATTCATACGTCTCATCCATGTTGACAGATGGATCTAATCAGACTGTCAAATTTCTGCAAGAGTTTTGCAGGAAAAAAAAGCAGCATACATACAGGATGCAGAAAACCAATTCAGCACTCTTCCTTTAGCGCTATGCTGCACTATTACTTCTTACAAAGCATTTTTCTGAGCTGGTCTTTGGGCTTTTGCTTGAACTGTTTCCATGGCAGAAACAAAAAATCTAACAACTAGGACTCAGAACAGGAAACTATTCAGTCTGCCAAAAAACTTTCAAAACTGCCCCCCCCCCTTTTTTTTTTAAATAAGGGAGTTTGGCCACATTAAAACAAATGTGGCAAGTATCCTACCTAAGTATGAGCCTTTCGCTTACTTGATAGGCCTTCATTAGCTTCAAGTACTTCAAATATTTTAGGACCTAGCATGTGACTCTTCCTACCCTATCTGTATTAACTGTTTTTTTCCTATCCCCAGAATGATGTAAAAGCGGTTCCATAAATTAAAACCCATTTTCCATAAATTAAACCCCATTACTATCGGCTACAGTTAAGAAAACAGAAATACCTTTTTTTTCTGCTTTTTCCTTCTTTTTCTTTTCTTCATCTTCACCTTTTATCTGATCTTTGGGACCAGGATAGGATGTGACTGCTGCAGGCTGTGAAACATCTTCTGAGAACAAAGCTGTAGAAACGGTTGTACCAGGAGGAACTGCAATTTGTTTTACTAAAATTAAAAATACAGAAATTAGAAGGGGCACTAAGGCTTTGAACATTTTAAGTTTCCCAAGTAGAAGAAAAAGCAAGAAGCATAGAAAATTTTGCTTAAAATACCTAAATAACTACAACTGCTGAGTGGTAAAAAGCAACACTACAAAACAAACCTCAGAACTCTGTCTGTATGCGACACGTGATTATTCCGATCAGTTAAGGACAATGCCTTTGACTATCCCTTTTTCAAATGTGAAAGAATGCTAAGTATAAGAAAATACATTTTAAAATGCCCACCTCTTTCTCTTGTTTATTCCAGTATCTCATTATCTTCACTATTAAACTCCTTATTTCTCATTTTTATTTATCTGGCTTCAGTTTCCAGCCACAAGCTCTTGTCATACTGTAAGCTATTCTATAACTTTTTCTCTATGACATAATTTTTATATTGTAGGCAGATCATGCTTCAGCTCTTCTTTCTGATTAACTAACAAAACTGAGTTTGAACCGTCTCATTCTAAGAAATTATCTACAACTATATGTTGTTTTCTCACTTCCCTTCCCCAAACTCTCCACGTTTTCTTCTTATTTCTTTTTAAACTGCCGACAAGGAATTCTGGACACCACCTCAGTATCTACCTTACCAGATAAAAACATAAGAACCACCTCCCTTCTACTTTCTACGCTTCAACTCATTATCTCATTAGTGCTTTTTTCCACAGCACTGTACTGGGAAATCATCATCAATAACCAACTGAAAAAATCTTTCCAGTGCTACTACTATACAGTTCCCCATTCTGCCTACATGCTTAAACATTCCTTTCACCCAAACGCATAGTTCTATATTCATTTGGTGTTTCAACAAATTCTGTTTGAATGGGTATAATCACCAAAAAATATGAACATAGTTCTGTGTCATTGCATTATCTTTTTAGTAATTAGTACTCTGCCAAGCCTCTCACCCAGAGGAGAGCTCAGAATTACTGCCAAACCATTAATGCAAATGCTCTCTCTCTCTCTCTATATATATATATTTTTTTAAATAATCAACCCTCTGAAGAGCTTCTGCCATGAGAGAAAAACCTTTATTACATGATGTTTCCTAATTAACAGCTACTTCCAAAATAAGACAGCCATTTACCAACATGTGCTCTATAGCTATTCTGTCAGAATAATTTTGAAATTAGAATATGGTATGCAATATTTTATTTAGACTTCCAATGTAACCTCAAGCTACACTTAGTAACCTTCCTGAAGAATCGCACTGAGTTTGTTCATATGTGCGCTCTTCAACACTAAACCTACTTGAATGAATTACATTCTTATAAACAGTTTTTTTAATCTTCAAAATCTTGAGTCGTTCTATCAACAACCACTTGCTTGCTGTTTTGCCTGATAGTTCCAAAGAGATTTTTTGTTTCTCAGATTTTTCATGTGATATTTCTGATGTTTTGTGTTTATCCAACTTTTGTGTTCAACTGCTCAACACTGTCAAAACCAAAAAAATCTCTAATTTACTTCAAAAGGAAAGATCTAAATTTATTTCTGCTCTGTTTTATATAAACTAGCTAAATGAAGGAAGATGCATGTCAAGACAAATAACTCCCTTTTTCTTCTATATAACATAATCCCATCTTAGAAAATCCACATGTATTGAGACTTCTCTCTCAAGCATAACAGACATTCTGTGAAATATCCTACTTCTATCAAAAATTACTGTAGATTAATAGACAATGGAAAAGTATAAACTAATGGCTAAGTTTAGTGCATGAAAGATTTATTCATACTCAGGAGAAAAAAAGAATTCTCTGCATTTATAAAACAGTGGTCCTTTTGAAGGCTGAATGTATTGTTTTAACAGTGAAACAGTCAGTACATTGGAATGTTAGCATCTACCTACAACGGATACGATCTTATCCAATTTACTGCATTGACAGCGTGGGTAAAAATGGTAATGGTTGTAGTGGGCAGAAGAGACTTTGGCTGAAAATAATCATAAAGAAAACATGCTGGATCTGAAACACTTCCGTTTCAGATTTTAATTTTTTCCTTAGAACTATGGAATTACATAATGATAGTATGAGCTGAATAGTCCTACACAGAGAAACGCAAAGGATGGCAAAGATGACATTGTCGTGGATTTTCTAATAAGTCACCGTTCATTCATACTTTCAATTCTGAATGGACTTTCCACAGGGATTTCAGTCTAGCTAGATGAAATATCTAGAGTATCAAGAAGTGTTTACCTTTCAGCATTTTCTGAAGTATTATAAGGACCGACAGAAATCAATTAAGTTCAGGGCTCATTATGAAAGGCACTGTACAAAAACACCCAAAGAACAAGTTCCACGTCTGATTAGGATTTGGCATGTATACCTGTCACACTTGCAGCTTACTAAAATGGCAGTAACTCTGTAGGTGACTTCATAGACATGGAATCTAGGAAAATCCAGAGTTTATAAGAGGTGCCACGGAGTCATACAAAAAGACAAAGATCACAGAGAATTAAGATATCATAAAATATGATCAAAAGTGACAAGATCTGTGCTGTGTGTGGACAGGACTCTTTTCCCACCTCCATTTCTAATTTCTGCCGCAATCAGCTCCTGTTTCAGCCCTTCAATTTCTTTCTTCAGTTTAGCATTTTCTACACGGAGCTTCTTCTCTTCTCGGAGAGATGCCTGCAAGACTAGAGTTGATACTATACTGAAAAGGAGAGCCTTCAATCATTGGTATTCATCATTTGGCGAACAGAGGTTTCATTTTCAGAGAAAAGTAAAATATGGTGAGCTGAACACCAAAAGTGACAACTTTCAAGGAGTATTTTGTTAGAAATATTTTAGAATCACATTTTGTTAAAGTTAATAGACATTTTATGATACTTATATAATCAAGTTGCCTCTCAATATGTTAGTTTCTCAGTCTTTCAGATGACTCACTAGAGGAAATACCAAGAAACCTATTAAGAAAAAGCTTCGACATATTTGTAATGGAGCACCCTCATTCACTGATACAGGTTGGTATAAAATATCAAAGCTGAAAGCACAATACACTTTAGAGAATTCCACAGTGGTGAGAAGCAGCAACACATAGTCTCATAACGTTCCCAAATCCCTTTCTCCTCAAAAAAGGATTTGTGTCCTATCAAATTTCCATAATCTGTTTGTGTCATTAACCCTTCCCTCATGCATGCTTTTCTGCTTCAGAACAAGAGACTTCAACAAAAACAAAACAAAACCAAAAAAATCACAACTCTTCCCTCCTCCCCACAAGCCACAAGACAGTGAAGAGGTACTACTATTACAAACTTTGTCTTAGAGAACCTGAAACATGCTTAAAAGGCTGACAGCACCAATAAAGTTGTCCATGCTCTCATTTTTTCCTATGAGCATTTAATGGTAACCATCTGGTTAGCAAGTTTATCATAATAAGCAGAATTCCTTACTAGCTTTCTCCTTGAGCAGAGCAACTTGCTGCTTGAGGTATTCAATAACTTGATCTGCCTCTGCACCTTTCTGCTCCAATCTGTTCAACACTGCATTGTCGGCTGCCATCTTTACCAAGAAACGAGCTAAAAACCTAGACAACAGAAGAGAGTCTAAAATTAATGATTTCTTAATATAATTAACATTACTATCTCTGACTTGAAATAATTCTAAAAATCAGTTGCTGAACAAGAAAATTTGCTAAGTGAACAAGCTGGGCTCTCACCTCCTAACACAAAGCCCAAATAAAAGGCCACGTTAAACAGAATCGGATGTTTGACAGCTGCTTTCAAGTATTTGGAAGAAAAAGTAGCTTTTCTTCTCAGCTGCAAAAAATATGTTCTTACTTCACGAAACACTGGAAAAAAATCCACCTTCTGAAAAAAGAAAGGTCCAAAGATATACAGTGAATAAAAAGAAAAAAGGGAAATAAAAAGGAGAAGGTTAGACTGGAGAACAAGGCAACCTGTTTTTATCTGAAAAATTTATGAAGTGTATCCAAAATTCTATTAAGAGTCAGAAAATAAAAGAGTCCCATAAAAATTTCCAAACTTCTCTAGTAAATTGATTTAGAATGTACAGAATACTTTATATATTGTGGTTGTGCATAAACACTAAAAATTCACTGTTGTTTTACTTCTAAGCAGAATTCATCAGTATCTTTCCTCATCTCAGACTAACGCAACTTTTACTGCAGGTTTCCACCTTCAGAGTTTTCCTAGTGCTCATTTTGATTGTCTCATTGTGATTTCACTCAGATGGAAGCCAAAGCATCCAGGTAACAAATTCAAGAAGCTGAAAACACAAACGAGCAGAGAGGGCAACAGCACAAGTACATACTGTCTATCCTTCTTTCAGGATGTTCCTCTTCTTTCACTGAGGTTCCCTGCTGTTCTGGGAACTAGCTGTGCCCTTATTTGTTGAAGGCCACTAACTTTGCTCCACTCTCTTCTCCGCAACATTTGTGTCTAATCATAAAGGCTCAAATATCAGCAAGACAATGACGAAATACAGTTACAGTCGTCACTCATATCGGCAACAGACAGTGCTTTACGCTCCTATCCAGTATCTAGAAGATAAAAGAATCTGCATTAACAGCTGGCTGAATCGTAAATCAAGAAAGCAAACAGATTACGGGTGGGAAGAGAAGACACCTTGCAGATCTTCACTAGCAACTGAGATAATTCCTGTGAATTTGCCCATCAGCTGCCACAAAGGGAAGGACTGATAGGAAAACAGCAATTCAGTTCTGTGCTTTGGCTCCTAAGCTGCAGTGTTCAAAAGTGCCTTTTTCTCACATCAAATTGTCAAGAAAACATCCTGTTTTATTGTAAGGTTATTTTGACACTGTGACCTAACGTACCAGTATTCTTCGTTGAGCGACGTTGAAGACAAAACAGCTTTAGAAACAACTGAAAGGACAAGTACAACCACGCTCACTCTAGTGTCTGCATATCACTTTTGCTGCATTCTCAGTATCAATTTACATCTGCTGTCTGATCTTCCGTTACAAGGAACCCAATTCTCCAGCGCCATATATCACTCTTTCTCTCTTCTGTCACCAGTGAATCAAGAACAGTGTAATTAAAAGTTCTCAAAGTAAAATTCACAAAGCCCGAGATACAGTACTCTAACTGATGATGCATGGGGTATGCTCTTCCTGCAAGCATGGAACGAACCACCGCCTTGCCTTCTTTGCAATCTAATAAAATAGAAGCCTGTTTTATGCACATCTTTTCCCTCAAAAAATGCAAGAGTACTACTGTTAGCAAACTTACCACCTCATCTACAAAAGATTTTTCTTTTAAAAGAAATAAAATCTTAGGGGAGGAAGAGCAGAAGGAATTACCTCTCCAGGACTACTAAAGTCATTTTAACATTCAAATTCATCTCTGCTAATGAGAAAGCAGGTAACACAATTTTGTTTTCACATGCACCAAGCAGGACCTATTATTTAAGTCGGTAAAAAAATATAAAGAGTTTTAAAGGCAAATAGTGTCCAGTAAGTTATTGATTTAGATATCAAATGGAAATAACACAAAACTATTATGGCGCAACGCAGCATAACACAAAGCCTAGGGTATTACTGTCTGCATACCAGTAAGATTTCTTGCAAGCTATATATTCTCTCAGAGGAACACAGCACTAGCAACGGAAACACTGCCAACAGCAACAGAAAAGCTACTAAAACTTCAAAGTGAATACAATTGGTACATTTTACAGTTTTTCGCCAAGTTGGCTAATGAACTGAAGATCTGGAAATGAAGTTACAGGATTACAATGGGTAGACATTTTCCCACTTGTCAAATAAATTTCTATAGAGCTATTACTACAACAATAACACAAAGAAATAGGTATTTTTGATACTAATTCAAAGAATCAACAGACTGAAGTGAACTGCTGCACAGGCACAGGAAGCCATAAGGCAGAAAGTGATAAAAATATATCTAGAAAGGGCAATTTTTTTTTTCAGGCCTACCTTTACTATAAAACACAAATCACATTAAAAACATTAGTGCTGCAACAATCAAAGGTTACAGTCAACGATTTTTTCCCCCCCACTTCTGGTTCCTTTGCCCTCTGCTGCCCTGCCCCATCCCAAAAGAAAAATTATTGGTGATACACTGAAACTAGAAATCAGAAAGAAAACCAGTAATAATATAGCTTAAAGAATAGAATTGTAACCTATTACAGAAACATTCTGACCTGTTATTCAGAAAGCGTCCAAGAAGCCAATTAAAAGTAAAGTCACATCATACAGTCATGTCTAATAAGCTGCTTTTCCTTCTTCATATAAAAAATAACTGCAGAAAACAAGTAAGGAGTACCTAGTACTATAGAAATGGCTATGCACTCCTCCTGAAAAGGAGAACCAACTGGAGTTACCTTGTTGCTCAACTGAAGGAAACTCTTTAATCTCAGACCTCTGACTACTACCTAATTACCTGCCAGACATCTTGAGCTGCCCCAAAACCCTACGTGCTCCCTTATAATGGGATTCTCTCTTCGGATGAAACATAGAAGCCTTGTAGTTATTAATGAAGTTATATATCAACACATGAAAGTTGTTTAATTTCTCATCATCCCTACTCACTGACTTTTAAAACAGCTGCCTATCTTTTTTCAATAACAAGCACTGCCTCCTGCTGTCTACTAAGCAGCTGCAGTCCCCTAACACGGAAAAGCAGGCATTACTCTGTTTCCCATGAAAGCGCAATGTGGAAGGGTCCCCAAAGAGCCAAACTTTCTATAATATATCAATACTTGACAAAGAGCACAAATTATCCAAAAACTTCAATATGTTTTACAAAGATGGGTTTCTCAAAATTGGTCTATATCTTAAAATATGTCAAGTTCAAAAGTGAATCCACCAAGATACTAACATAAAATTTGTTGCATCTTGCTTTTCAATATTAACATTCTGGTTTTAAAAGCAAGAAAAAGCCCCAAACCTCATAAAACTAATGCTAAGATTCAAATCTTGAACTCTAAAAATTGTTTTTGGAATCTATCCATAGTCTTAACATGGAACCTATTACTTTTCACTATTGGAAAAGCAATTACTTAACCAAAAAATAGAATTTGGAAGCCATCTGATTCCTAAAAACTAAAATAATTAGCTTTAAGCATTCTATTTTCCAGCTGGAGATTTAAAAAAAAAAAAAGTCAATACTTTTAAGTTCTCGGCTTATTCTTGCTATGCTTTGTTAACATCAATACACAAAGTAGCATTACTAACTACAAGATATAAACTGCAGGCTGCTTAGTAAGACTTATTACCCATAGACCAATATGTTCTCCCTGTTTGCATTAAGTACATCTACAGCAATGATCCAGCTTTTATTTTAGCATTTTCAATTTAGTAAAGTTTTATGCTGCGTAGCTAACAGGTATCTTGTTTCTTGTTCTCATTGTTTCCTATGGGTTTTAGTGCAACACAACCAAACGACGTGTGCGTTGTCAGTTGGTCATCTCGGGCTTCAGTTGAAACAAGGAAATTTTCAAAATTTTGTCTCAAGTGATGTAATAGATACATAAAATCATGACTGCCTGTTCCTTCTCTCTTTCTCTCCTGCATATACTCATTCCTCCAAAATAAAGAGGATAAACTTTCACAGCTCACTGCACCTAGACAGTGTTCTTCGTCTCAAAGTTGCCTCACTGACCCATCACGGCTCCTCGCTTTGTGTTAGCTATGGAGGAATCGAGTATTTCTACAGCAAAGCCAATTCTACCCACCATCTTCAAAGAGCAGACAGCAATCAAAGGACAGCCCAGATAACATAAACATATGCCTTATAGACAATGCTACTTTTACAAATAGTTAACCAAGACCTAAGTTCAGGCAGGGAGCCACTATGGGAGAAAATAAAAGCTCATTAAAAAAAAAAAAAAATCACGTTTGCTTTTCAATTGAAACATTCTGTTCATATTAAAGGTTGTAATTATGAAGCAAACTAGTTATTATGAAGTAGGACCACTGCAACTAACTTTATTCTGTAGGCAAGTTACTGACCACACAAGGGTAATAAAATTTCTTCGGTGGTAAATAAAGTTTACTAATTATACAAAAATATTTATGGCAATCCCTCTTCCTAAGATTTCGGTCTTAAGACTCAAATAGCTCTCAAACAAAACCCCTTTTCTTCTCCATGAAAGGTCTCAAGATGCTTCATTTTGGATGACTGGCATAGCAATGTATTCTGAGTCTCTGTAAAAGACAGAGGTTATCAACAATTACTTTGTTTCTGCAAAAAGCATGTTCAAAGACTTCTCTCTGAGCATCTTTTTGGGGATGGTCATTTTTGGCAGACAATCTTATGAAAAATCATAAACATAACAATGTGCCAGCTGTTTGCCAGATTCTGCTTTCCTGTACTTTGCACTTCTATGAACTGCGAGGACACATCGTGAATCAGAATTTAAGCATCTCACATCACACGTTTTTATTCTGCAAAATATGGAACAGCAGTGATCAGATCAAAACAGAAGAAACACAGGGTCAAAGTATGCTTTACAGCATTATCTTTTGCTAAACCAAAAGACCAGTATAATGAGGAGATTACTGTAACTTGTCCCATCCTGTCCTGTCTCAGAGAATCAGGGTTCATGCTTCAAAATGAGTTTTCTCTTAGAGGTTTCTCTCAACCGCTGATATTCTGTATTCTGGATCTAACCTTGTAAGCGACTTTGGCTATGATTTCCAAACAGCGATTTTATATTTCTGGTAGAAAAGCTAAGGTTTAATTTCCAAAATTCTGCTAATTTAAACCATCAAAATGTTGGGGTGAGCTATGACTGATTTTTTTTTGAGATCAAATCTTAGTTTTGACTTGCTCATCACCCTACTTCGATCTAAATGAAGCACAGAAGATCAGAAGCAGCTCTCAATTTATCTTTGGGGGGACAATGCTCTATAACATTCAGTGACAAACCTGTGAAAAACATCCACTGCTACAGCATTTTGGAAATCAACTATATGCACTAAGTTTCATGCACTTACCTATCACTGTTACACAATTCTGCTCTCTAAAGGTCAGATCTTTCACTTTCTTTGTTGCACCTTTAGAAAACACAATCGTGGCTTCTACATCCAAATACTCCTTCTCAGGAAAGGCAGTTCTAAGTCATTAAATGTTTTTAGGCTTCATTAGGCACAGAAGAATCAGGTTTATGTATCTGAAACTGCCATGATCACATGAACTTTCATCTGTGGAAAAATACAATCCCTCGATCACAAAACACAGCAAAAGCAGCAGCTACTCACAGATAGGGGCTTCCGAAAACAGGCCTTTTAAGCCCATACACAAATAGGCCACAGCACCAGTAGGCGGTAATACAAACAATACCGAACGAGAACAGAACTGTCTTACATATTAGATAAGATTTTTTGCATTGTGGCTGTAGTTTGAGACTAATTAATTGTGATCAAAGCTATATTTTCCTTGTTCTAGCAGAGTATAAGGACATGACACATCCCATTACACTTAAATATCATTCCCTTCGCATCCAAAAGAGGAACGTATAACGGTAAGTTTTAACCACCAGCTCATCTGTTTTTCAGATCTCAGGTAACGCTAGAAGCTCTACAAAGGACGAACATGCATTTCCTGAACCTCACATTGTCAAAGCAAGTTTATATAAATAAAAACACGCTTCAAGACCCTCAGCAAATATGTGCAAGTGATCTAAATGTAGGTTAGGTGCTTGCCTAGGTTATTCTCTACCTCCAGCAAAGGAGATCGACAAAAAACATTTTTTTGCAAGAACGATGGTAAATGACTAAGCAGCAACTAGCAACAATAACATTAAAAAAGTAGTATTTTTGATGTCAAGATTTCAAGCAAAATTCAGAAGTGCAGTGTAAAAATTCAAGTATCTAGAAATGATTATCAGATAAATCATTTCAGCATCTCACTTTTGACACTCAGTATTAGATTTGTAACTAGAAGCGAGGCACAGTAAGACACCAAATGAAACTATTATCCTCATATTTTGTTAATGAAAGAACACTGCTTTCCATATGAGAGAAAATGGAACTGCAGCCTAAAACGTAAGAGAATATTGTAAAGTATGGAAATATAGTTTTGAAGGCTCTTAGTGCAAAAAGACTTAAGAAGTGCATCTTCTCCCTTCTCTCTGCCCAAACGATTGCTATGACTGGGGCTTTAATGAGTTAAATAGCCTGAGTACTTTTCTTTTTTTCGAAGCTGTTAATAGAATTTTTAAAGTATTCACCAGCTATAAACTTCTGTGTAGTCAGTACTCAAAGCAATTTGCCAAACAGCAAATTATTAAGCAAAGCTGTACATTTCTGCCATATGTTATTTCCACTCAAATCGCTTGCACTATGAGAATTAGAATAATTGCTTTGCAGATTTCCAAACAACTAACATGTCTAACAGTCCATTCAAGAAGCAATGCCAGCCCTAAGGAATGATTTGCTAGCTCTGGAGACTACAGTCCAACCCTTCTGGCTGCCAGATAAATCAGGCTCAATCCCAGCTGCAGACAGGTCCTTTAGTAGTCCTAAATCCAGATAAATCAGGCTCAATCCCAGCTGCAGACAGGTCCTTTAGAAGTCCTAAGAGCCTACCCCTCCCTATTTTAAAGGGCTGTAATAGGGAAAACACACACAACCAACCAAACCTTTTCAGATTTAAAAAGATTGTAGCATGAAAGAGGTGTGTGTGTGTGGTGTATAGATCTGATAGAGTATTGCACAAATAAAGATCTGATAGAGTATTGCACAAATAAAGGCCCATCCACCCGTAGCAATTTTGTGGCTACCTTCCCTCTACCCCAGTGAGACATATGGCAATCAAAGTTACTCCAGTAACAACTATTGCTAAACATGAAGACAGGTCTCTTGAAAAGGAAGTATGTACAACAAAAGCTACCACGGAGTCAAAGTGTTAATGGGACAAGCAAAATCAAATCCATGAGAAGCAATGAATGAGGAATGAATGGATGACAGCCATATGATAGAGCAAATAAAGAATTTCATAGAAGTATGTAATTCTTACTT